TAGAGTTGTGTGTGTTTTGGGGGGGGGGGGTGTTACATGTATTTGAACAGTTACATGTATTTGACTGTCTGTTACAGTTGCTTGAAATATTTTCATTTAATTTAGTTTGAAGCTTTATCGACCCCAAAAAACACCAGCTGTGTAGTTGATCTGGTCCATAGAGTCTGTTCTCTTTTCTCAGTTTTATGCTATTCAGTGTTTTGTTTGTTTGATTGTTTGCTTGCTTGTTTTTGCACCATCCCTAACCGCAATCCTAACCATAACTTTATCCGTGACAGCTTTCAAAGAAATGTCATAAACATTAGTTTCTCTGGTGTTAAAAAAAGCCTACTAGTTAAATTTCTTGCCAGTGTTATAATTTATGACTAACAATGACAAGGGAAGCCAAAAGAGATCATCCATGTTTGTAGACAACAATTTTAGTGACAATAAATGCAAAGAATGATTCCAAGACATCATCTAGAGAGATCTTTTGCTGTCTAATGGGAATGATCACTTATTATTTTAATTGAACTGGACTTTTGCCCAAACAGTTTTGATGGATAAGTAGCTGTCAACATACCAGACAGTAGGAAGTTTCTTTTGCTCACAGAGAGTTCCTTCAATAGAGGCCTCAGGCAAATATGCTAATTCACCTGTCGAAGCCAATCATGTTGTAGCATCAACATCCTTCAGTGCTCAAAAATATCAAAAAACAATGAAACTGATATTTGATAAAAAATAATTGACTTTATTAGGGAGGTTAAATAGCATAGGTAGTTAACTTTTTATGTATAGCATAAACAAGTCATTCAATCTTGTTCTGTTTCTTTATAGTGCTCACTTATTATTATTATTAGTATTATTAATGCAGAAAGAAAGCACTATTAAAATCTAACTGATTTAGATAGTTACATTACAAACAAAGATAAGATAAAATTTCACATCATTGGTGTAGGAATATAAAGAATGGAAATAAACCATGTTCGGATTTGTTTTTATGGAAGCAGCACTGGCAACACTGGTTAGTCAAGATGTTTTGGGATTATGACATGATACAACCCACAGCACATGACAAACTTAAAAATTTCCATTGAGTAGCTTATCTAGTCTCAGTCTGTAAAGCCTTTATGATTCTTATTCAATCATAATTCAGAGCTGAAGTTCTTCAGGACATGGAGTTTTTCAGGCTGCTTTTTTTTTTCTTACACATTACTTCGTTGATACCTGTGTACATGAGAGATATTGACATGAAATAATTTGAAACAGCAATTTATTAAAGGGGTCATATTATGCAATTTCTATTTTTTATTTTCTTTAGTGTGTTATGTAGCTATTTGTGCATGTATAAGATTATATTATTATATTATTAGTTAGCATTGATGCAGCATGTCAGGGAGATGCTGTGTGTTTCTAGGCGAAAGCAAAAGCAATTTATTTGGCCTTCCGGAAGTAGATGCAATTAGGAATCATTGGTTAAGATTTATTTACAACAGAACAGCACAACCCAGATGCTCGAATTTGTGCAACACATTTTATGGACGACAGTTCTGTGAACCTAGTAGAGTAGCCTACAAGGCTGGCTGTGCAAAGACTATTTCTAAAAAAAAATGGGTCAATTCCGACTTTGCTATGACAATCTGGCACTTATTCAGAATCAGCTACTGTAAGTATCTTTTCTTAATAGTTTAAGTATTTGCTATTGACTGTTCAAATGGTGAGTTTTGCGCCGTGTAGAGTATCGCGTCATGTGTGTGTGTGTGTGAGAGAGAGACAGGGTCACATCACAGTGGAA